TATATATATATATATATATATGTGTGTGTGTTATATTTTATGATATAATAAACGTTCATCCGACTCTCTCGTCCCAGCGTACCCACCACATTAATGTGATCTCTGCTTTTTATACAACTGCGGTTGGGAAGCTAATTGCTTATAATGATTTGTTTTGTAGCAGCAGCCAAATAAATAAAAAAATAAAAAAATAAATTTCAGTTTGATTAGAATGTGCCAAATGAAGTGTCAGTAATATATATTTGTCGGTAAAGAATTGACTTTTAACACTATTACAGAGTGAAGAGAGAAAGCTAACGATGTGCATTAATATTCTGTCAAGTAGAATTTGATGAATTAAAAATTATAAAGAAATTATTTTTAAAAAAGGAATGAAATAAGACTTTTGGCTTCATAGCAATGCAGGTAAATATTATATATTTATATATATATTTATATATATATATATCATCAGTATTTCAAAAATATAAAGTTTTTATAGTTTCTGTTGTTGGCTTACATCAATAAATAAAACATTTTTGTGTCTTTGTTAAAGTAGCATGCTGCGGTTTAATATGGCAGTTTATTTGTTTTAAATATTCATCCATGTGTGTATCATGCAGTTGTCGTCGGTATCTTAAGGTCTGAAACCATATCTACACAGTGAGGTCCAGAAAATCCTGTCACGCACGCGCACACACACACACACACGCGCACACACACACACACACACGTTGCCCTCCTGTTCCCGTCCTGACTAGTCCTCACCGGTGCACGTCGTGTCAGGACGTGGGGACCTGCGTGTCCCTGTCGTATAATAGAGTGACAGAGCGACACATCCTGTCCGACCGCAGCAGAAGCCTAGAGACTCAGTCTTTACTCTCTGTTCATAAATGCTCTCCTTTCCCAGCGTACCGTCCTCCTGGTCCAGCGCTCCCTCTGCCTTTAGAACTGGTACCACTTTTTGTCCTTGCACTTCAGCATCAACTGTAAAACCACAGGAATCACAGTGTTTTGTGAAATGTAATGTTTTCTTAGACTGGATTGAAAAGTTCTTTTCTTTTCGTTGTTTTACCTCGTGAGCATGTTTAGAGAAAGTTTCTGCACTGGACATCATGAGGGCCGTCCGTTCCTCCAGCTCCCCCAGTCTCTGGCCCCTCTCATCCAGGGCAATGCGGGCTCGAGCCAGGTCGCCCACAGCTCCACCAGCTGCTACCTTCATGCCCTCCAGCCCTCCCTGTCCAGGGATGTGCTGTGCCAGGCTGCGTGATGCTTTCCCAGCCGCTGCCTCTCCGACTGCCAACAGCACCAGGTGACAAACGAAAGACACTTAAAAATGTTAAATCTGTCAGGGTCAAGGGTCAGGGTCAGGGTCAAGAACCAAATGCTAATGCATACTTAGACATTAAAGAGTTACGTGCAGTTTAATCAACCCATAAAAAGACATCACATGATGAACAACGGTGTCACCCACAGAGCTCCTCTCTGTCAAAGGTGTTTGTGTTTCCTCCAAAGAAGCCCTTCAGGAAGCCTCTGTTCTGGGCCTCCGGGGTCTCTGTCGGTGTGAACAGCTCCCCCAGCATCTCCTAGAAAACGTTAAATCAGATCAGAGTTTTTATTTCTCTTCAGTTGGATCAGGGAGTACTGTGAACTACCAATATTGGCCTGTAGATGGCACTGCAGGCGCACCTGTCATTTAGCTGTGAGTGCAGTGTTTACACACACAGATACGTGTGTTTACATGTGTGTGTACATCTGACGTAGCTATACCTGTGGGGACAACAGTGTTGATGTGAAGAGACACATTTTCTAGGGTCGATGTCCAAGATGGTATTTTAGGGTTCGATACTTAGTTTAGGATATGAATTACAGGGAGGAGGTAGAAACTGGACCATCTGTGTGTGGAGCTCACAAAACACCAACACCTGTATGTGTGTGTGTGTGTGACATTTACTGACGTCTCTCTGGGCTTATGATGCTTAGCTTTGGGATTCATTAGGTGTGTTGACGACACACAGACACGTCCCAGTATCAAGCTGTGACAGTAACACTCACTGTCAGTGAAGCCACAGCAGCTGTGTCATATATTCTAACATATATTTATGTAAATCAGGGAGGAGGAGAAGTCCTGTCCTCACCTGCAGGTTGTCACACATCTCCTGGCTGTACGTGATCCTCTGGATCTCTGTGGGGGAGCTGAGATAAAGAGCCTGCCCCCCATTGGTGAAGCAAAAGGTCCTCGCGATGCGCATGTCTGTCAGAGGAAGGTAATTGACGTCCATCAGAGGTCTGAGACTGGGCAAACTGGGAGAGGAGAATAAAACGTCCATCATCCATCAACCAACGACAGGTTTCACCAAAACACGCGTCACCTCACGGGAGTGAGGAGTGAGTTGAACAAAGTCGCGTCGAGGCTGGGATTTAAACAGACAGTTCATGTGTGCAGTGTGTGTATCTATATATGGATGTCTTTACCTGAGTGTCATGATGTGACCGTTGGCACAGAAGCAGGCCAGACACACGCTGTTACACAGCGACACCACGTCGGCTCGCAGTACGAACGAGGACTCGGTGATGTTGTGGACAAAGAGACAGGACTGCGAGGGCATCAGGAACACTTTGGCCTGCCTCTCGGTGCAGACCACAGCCAGGTGTCCTTCTCCACAGGCTTCCTGTGACGACGACGGGGAAAAGTTGACCAGCTTACGCCTGCGCGGCCGGTCGGGGTCGTCTGGGGCGTTGGGATCTCGCCAACATTCGTACGGGCTCTGAATGAGGACGCCCGTGAGGTCCAGGAACCCAAAGCGTAAGACTGAGCCCTTCAGCATCAGGACAGCTCCTGGGAGGAGGAGGAGAGACGTTCTGTGACTCTGGGGGGGGGGGGGGGGGGGAGTGGGGATCACAGTTCTCCATGACAACTAACGTCCTACTCAAATTGATACTAATGGATTTTCAGAAGTGCAGCTAACACGACTCAACGGTGCATTTATTTCCTCAGGAAATCGTCCACTCATGTTTAAAAGCCTTGTTTTGCATCAATCTGTGTTGAAGTGTTGAACTGAAGAGAAAACAATGTTCGAAATGTCAGAGTTTCTTAAAGTGACAGTAGCCCTGACTCTTCAGATCACAGTCAACTCTGTTTTTGTTTTAATCACAGACTAGATTTTTTTTTAAGACAAAATCCAAACTATATTTTCCGTAAAGTTAGTAAACGTCCATAATAATAAACATGTAATGATCTTTTGGCCTCAAACAAATCAGTGTTTGATCAGAAATTCCTCAAAATCATGACGTCATCACTGAATATTTGTAATCTTTGTTTTTTAGTTTAACGTTTTTGTAGATAAAATCCACTGTGTGCAGTTCAAACACTTCCAGGGTCAGAGAGTCGTCCGTGTTCATCTTCAGAGTTTTACCAAAATACTCACTCATGTACTGATACATTCTGAACACTAGTGGGCAGACAAGAGACATGATCATCAGAACTGTCATTTTTTCACAGGTTTCCTGGTCAGGCGGACACTCACCATTGGGGCCGATGGACACTGGTTCCTCCAGCCTGTCCTCCTGCTCAGTGGGGATGGACATGGGGATGACCACGACCACACCCAGGCTGGTGCCCACCCACAGAGACGGGGGCGCCACAGAGTCGCTCTTTCGGCCGTAGAACTCTCCAAACTGCAGCGTTGTGACGGCCTCCTTGGTGTCGCGGTCGATGCTGGACACGCTGGAGCTGCGGGAGCGGCTGAAGGAGTTTTCACGACTCTCTGGGTTTGTGGTCATCGAACAGAGAAGAGCAGCAGAGATTTGAGTGAGCGTCGGAGAAAAGAGGAGGAGCCGAGACGTGGAGGCCAGGGAGAAGGAAAGGAAAAGGAAAACAAAAGCCGTATCACCAAGGACAAGAGAGACCAATTACAAACTAAACGATTATGAATGAATAGTTTTTAGGAGAGAATGTGTGACAACAACAAACATGACTGTCTGTGTGTAAAACACTGGAACAAACAAAAAACTATGACAGGAGTGGAAACAGCAGCGTATTACAAACACACACACACATAAACACACACCTGTCTTAACCTATGGAGATGCCAGTCCTCTCTCTCACACACACACACACACACACACACACACACACACACACACTGCAGACCTGTGAATGTTTCCACTCACTTCCTCCACCCTGGACGTTAAGGCTCCATCATGAAGGTTTTCCTGTTTTTGCTGCATTTCTGAATTATTTAAAGCCACTAGGGAGCGCTGCTGCAGTCATAGGTCTTTACATAAGGAGGACTGCTCTACGACAGAACGAGTCAGGACCTGAGCCCACATCACCAAGACAAAACAGGAGGGGGGGGGGCGGGGGGGGGGGGGGGGGGGGAGGAGGAGGAGGAGGAGGAGGAGCTGAAATAGATCCTGAATGACAGAACAAAGGTGGCCTCCTCTTTATTGTCAAATTAGAGCAGCTGGGCCCATTCTCCTACAGGAGAACCATGAATAGATTATTGGAGTTGCTGTCACTTAGATGGAAAAAGGAGAGGAAAGCCCCGCCTCCTCCGTCCACGCC